AATACGTATCGCGAAAGACAATCGTCAAAATGATATGCGTATTGCAAATGAAACACGTTTGAAAGATCTTCGCATTGCTGAAGAAAATCGTCGTAAAGACATGGAAATTGCTGAAGAAAATCGACGTAAAGATTTGAAAATTGCTGAACTACAAATTAATATTGCCGAAGAAAACCGTGCTGGTGCAGTTCGACTTGCCAATGAAACACGTTCGAATGATCTGGTGATTGCCGCTGAAAATCGTCGTAAAGACATTGAAATAGCTGAAGAAAATCGTCGTAAAGACATTGAGATAGCCGAGGAAAATCGTCGTAAAGATTTGAAAATAGCTGATTTTCAAATTAAAATTGCCGATGAAAACCGTCAAAACGACATTCGTATCGCTAATAAGACACGTCAAAACGATCTCATAATTGCGTCAGAAAATCGTCGCAAAGATATTGAGATTGCTGAAGAAAATCGACGTAAAGATTTTAAAATAGCCGAAGCAAATCGTCATAAAGATCGAGAAGTTACAGAAGATCAACAGAAACATAGTATTATCTCCGCATACTATTCGTTTTTAAGTCAACTTCTTTTGAAAGAAGGTGTCCATCTCGATAGTGAAAATCATGAAGCAGCACGTTTCGTTGCACGTTTCGAAACATTGATTGCATTTCGTCAACTAGATCCAAAACGTAAGACTCTTCTGTTTAAATCGTTGTATGAGGGAGATTTGGCTGGTCATTTGGATAGAGGTATGGTAATCGATCTCTCATCAGCTGATCTAACCAATATCGACTTTGCTTCACCGCGTGATCGTATTGTCGAAACATTACCATCTTCGTCTTCATATTATTCGATGAACTTTAGTTATACAAATTTGAACAATGCATCATTTAACTTCGTCACATTTTACAACGCCAGTTTTGATCGAGCAGTGATGGAAGATGTCATCATGTCGTCTACTTTTACAACATCAATCTCATTCATCAATACATCTCTAGTACGCGCTAAATTTCTCTACTCTCATCATACAAACGTCAACTTTTTCAAAGCAAACTTGGATAAAACACATTTCGAAGAGTTTAACTGTGATCGATGTTCGTTCAACTTCAGTTCATTGAAAGATAGTCGTAT